AAATAAATACAAAATTGCGGGGCCCTCAATAATTATTTGTTTTAAAATACTTAGATTCCGGGAAGGGCCGTTTAACAAATTTCATGGCCCTACCCAAAATAATAACAACGCGTTAGTCTTTAGGCGCGTATTTAATAATGTTATTTTCGTAAACTCGGGTGCACATTTATGTGACCCAAATCCAAATCTCAACGGAGTCGAAGTGTGTCGACGACCACGGGTACATTGACTGTGACGTGGTTCAAGATATATTTCCACGAGGTTGCAATTCTCGATAAAAAATAATAATAATGATAAAAGCAGTTAAAAGTTAAAATTCGCACATATGTTCAACATGTATTATATCAGATAATCAAGCCGAATATGACAGTTGAGCGACCGTGCTAGAACCACGGAACTCGGGAATGCCTAACACCTTCTCCCGGGTTAACAGAATTCCTTATCCGGATTTCTGGTGCGCAGACTGTTAAACAGAGTCATTCTTTTCCTCGATTCGGGATTCAATCGGTGACTTGGGACACCATAAATCTCCCAAGTGGCGACTCTGAAATAAATAAATAAATCCTGTTTCGATTGTCCTTTAATTGGAAAAACTCCCTTTTGCGCCCCTTTGCGGGCGGCACGGGCGAAAAAGGAGATGTGACAATAGCTAAAGCGGATTTGTTTGCTTTTAGTAATGCAGACATACCGGGTATCCCCAAAGAAATCGCCACGCACAAGATGAATGTCGACCCTTTCCACCCCCGGTAAGGTAGGTCCGGCGAAAGTTCAACCCCGCCATCAAATGAGGCCGTTAACAATGAAGTTGAGAAGTTATTGGCAAACAGCTCCATCAGGGGGCGATGTACCCCAAATGGATAGCCAATATAGTGATGGTCAAAAAGAAAAAATGGGAAATGGAGGATGTGATGGACTTCACAGACTTAAACAAAGCATGCCCGAAGGATTCATTTCCACTACCACACATCGACTAACTTATGGACGCGACAACCAGGCACAAATTGTTAAGTTTCTTGGACGCCTATTCTGGTTACAACCAAATACTCATGGAGGAAGAGGACTAAGAGAAAATCTCGTTCATCACCCACATTGGGACGTATTGTTATAAGGTCATGTTGTTTGGGTTGAAGAACGCAGGGGCTACGTAACAAAGGTTGGTCTCAAAGATGTTCAAAGACCAACTTGGCAAAACTATCGAGGTGTATATCAACGACATGCTGGTCAAGTCCGCAAAGGCAGAAGATCATATCGACCACCTAAAAGAAGCTTGCGATATTCTGAGGTGGTACGAGATGAATCTAAACCTCGAGAAATACGCATTTGGCGTAGCTTCGGGAAAAACATCATTGCTGATTTGGCCTAACCAAAGAGATAAGTTGCAAAAACATGCCCTAGTTCACAGGGAGAAAAACCACCGAGTTCTTCGAAAAATGGCACATTAAGAGGATACTTTCAACTATCTATCACCCAGCAAGCAACGGGCAAGCAGAATCCTCTAATAAGTCCATACTGAACATCATGAAAATAAGCTCGAAGAAGCCAAGGGACTGTGGCCGAAAATACTCCCAGAAGTATTATGGGAGCATAGAACCACCCCGAAGATGAGAACATGAGAGATGCCTTATTCCCTAGTCTACGGTACAAAAACAGTTATACCAGTTGAGGTCGAAGTACCTAGCCTGAGTTACTCCCGTGAAAGCAGCACCAACAATGATGAGAGTAGGAGGTAAGAGCTCGATGAGGTCGACGAGCGAAAAGATATGGCATATATATGGATGGTCACCCAAAAACATCAGGCAGAGAGTTACTACAACATAAAAGCAAAGGTCCGACCGCTCAAGATCGGGGACTACGTACTCAAAGTGAAAACCTAAGCAAACAGGGATCCACGAGAAGGAAAGTTGGGAATCAACTGCGACGGGCCATACAACACTATAAGCAAAGCATAAAAGGGTTCATTCCAACTAGAAACAATGGAAGGAAATTTCCTACCAAACAATTGGAATATCAGCTAACTCAAGTACTTCAACTTCCAGAAAACAAAAAAGTGTCCCGCAAGTCGTACTTTTTTCCCTCACTTGAGTTTTGTCCCAATAGTGTTTTCTCGAGGAGGTTTTTAATGAGGCGACAAGTGGGACACTTATAGTTAAAGTATACAAGAACATACCGATTTTTCATTGCCCGGCTCCTTAAGATTCTCCACGTCGAAAAATAAAGGGACTAAATATACTGAGACTGGTACTGGAATGCCAACCAACACCCAAAACTTGTAACTTTCTCCCAAAATTTTCCAAGGGCAAAATAATGTAATCAGAGCAACGACGTCAAAGTAATAGAAATTGACATTTATCGAAACTTCTCTAATGAAAGGTTAAGTTCAACCAAGCTCGAACAACACCTATCGGCCCTCTTCCACGACTTAATGAAAGGTTAAGTTTGACCAAGCTCGAACAACCTAACTTAAAAGCACGTTCAACTAGCTCGAACAATACCTATCGGTTGTCGGCCACATCTCAACTAACAAGAATACTCGACTTGTATAAATAAAGGGTCGATATGGCCCATAGCTATTCGGCCCAAAGGCTATGGCCACCTAGAGGACAACATCATAAAGAAGCAAAATATGCACTACAAAAAAAACAGTGTTTAGCTACGGAATTTAGCGACAAGAGATATTCCGTAGCTACATAACGACGGATTAGCGACGAATTTTGTAGCTTGTAGCCAAATAAGCTACAAAAAAAATTGTATCAAATATAGCGACGGAATAGAGACAAAAACCAATATTCGTCACTAAATATTAGCGCCTTTATTTTACCTACAAAATTAGCGACGAAAGTGCGGCGACAAAAAAGTATTAAAATCGAGCGACGAATTTAACGTCAAAAAATCCGTCGCTGCATTCATTTTAGTTATCAAGACATTCCAAAGTTGATTGCGACAAAATTTTTCGTCGCTAGTTTCCTTAAAATAAAGCTTCATTAGATGATAGTAGCAACAAAAAATTGGTCCGTCGCTATTTTCGTTGCTAATATCTAGTTCCATTAAAGTAAATTTTCATTAGTTATTATTAGTGACAGAATTTGATCGCTATCGCTGTCGCAAAATTCTGTCTAAAAAATAAAAATAACTTGGTCAAAAGACAGACTATTCGAACAATTAGAGCAACAACCCACTTTCTCTCCTCTCTATCATACTCCTTCACTCCTTCAACAATGTGATTTGTTTTCTTCAAATACAAAAATTGGGCGTGAATCTAGGGTTATTGTATGAAAATTAGAAGAAAACATTCGAAATTGCAAGATTTTTGCTGCATAACTCTGAAATTCGAAGTCGTATGTTGCTGCTCCGCAAGATTTTCAAACGAAAGGGTAAGCTTATTTGTGATTTCTCTTCCTTCTCATTCTACAGAAAGACATACAAAATTTGTTGGGTTCTTCTTGAGCATCCAGGTCTGCATCCGCTTCCCCCTTTTTATTTCTTCCTAATTTTAAAAAAATGGTAAGTTTATACCCTTATTTTCCATTAATAGATACACTGTGAATAAGCATCATACTTGTTGAATTAGATATGAGTACATGCAACGATGGAAGTAAATCCAATGTACTATTCTCATCATTATTCCACCGAATTTTACAACTTTATTAGAAGAAAATGATTCCAATGATTTTTCATTTTTCAGTTTGGCATTTAATAGTTGCTTTGAAATGTCCCTGGACTTCCCTGGTCCCTCTTAGAAATTTCCTTGTAAACTACTTGCGCATGAACCAATTTTCCTACTCCACCTTTTTTTATTACACATTGGATTATCAAAAATTGGATTCCTCGTGTTTGATATTTCAACTAAACTAGACTTGAAGTTTGAGAGAAGGTTGTATACTATTAAACCTGTGCCGACAGAGAAATTAGACTCTTAGATTCTACTTATTGTATCAAAATATAGTCTTATACATTACTATCTGACTAGGAAACATGATTTTTAGTAGTGTTGATCTTCATTTGCATAAAGCACTATGGATTTTACTTAGGCTAACAGTTATATTCTGTTTTTATCTTTGATAACATGCTTTGTTTGCTTTCGCATGTTTTACTGGCTTCTACTTGTTTTGTCCATTCAAATTTTCTGCCATCTAGTACTGATAAGGTATCCTCCCATGCCTTTGATTTGCTTCCTTACTCCGATTGTCAAGTAATCCAATATGTTGATGCATTGTTCCACAAATTCCTCTTCACTGCTCGGCCCACACAGACTGTAGTAGTAGAGTTGCAAAATTAAAGGAAAATCCATCATGTAAAAAATGAAGAGTTTGAAAATTAGTGTTTTTCTGATTGTAATTTTTCTTACTAAATATGAATGAAGAATATATATTCAGTGCCAGGTAAGTAGAGAAGAGGTCTTTTTCTTACCCAAGACTAACACAGAAACCTCCAACTTCTTCACTTGGCTCATTACAGTTGCCATCTTTGGTCCTTGTATTACTAGTGCTTCCACTTCAACCTTTTAAATATTTTTTGAATATAAGGGCTGGAAGGCAGATCACTCTCACAAGAATATAGAAAGTCAACCCCCTTTATAGTAACTCTAGCATGAAGCCCACCTCTATGAAAATGAACTGAAAAGATTAGTTGAATCTGAAAATTTAAAGGGAATGAATAATATTAAATGTCATAAAATCATATTCATACAATAAAATTTTGGATTGTGGAAAACAAATACTGTCCTTTTAGTTTTGAATTGTGAAGATTTTTGTTCTACTTTTGCATTTGCTATACACTAATTTATTTTCCCTTTGTTTGAAAATTTTCTTTGCAGGTCGACAAGAATTTATGTGGTAAAAGTTCTCGAAAAGATTCAGTTTTTATTAGTCTTCGTGCTTGATCCAAAATGCATTTCAGGGTCTGGTGAGTTCTCATGTCCTTGTTCTGTTGATTGTGCTTTTTTCTATTGCATTGGTTTAATTGAATAATTTATAAATTACATTTTGGGGAATTCTAACTAGTATCATTTTCGACTTATGTAATCCTCAAATTTCCTGAATAGTAATAACAACATGTTGAGAACAAGCATGTATTTTTCTGCTTTGTGTTGCTTCAATACTGGATTCTTTTGATGAATCTGCCTTTGTTTCTTTGCTGCTAAAATGAGCTAAAGAAGCAAGCTCATTAACAGAATCAACAATTTCTTCGACACAAATGACGATATCGGTTAGTATTGATGCAACTGCAGCCACTGGTATGACTTTTAGTAAGTTAATATCTTCCCAGAAACCTGATATGAGAAGTGATTTCAGGTTCTTGGCTGCTGTTTTGGAATTTGAGACATGTTTATTAGATGACAAAGGAGAAGTCATTGTTTTTATAGAACGTGCTAGTTCTTTTAGTGCTTTCCCATATTCTATGCTCATTTTTGTTATTGTTTCCTTGATCATTCCCTTGATCTCTTCAGGTGCATGCAATTGAGTTTAATAGCTTATGTTAGTTCAAATATAATAGTTTAACTTAGCTTCTATGCGTTGATACGTTACACTATCACTTGACAAAGCAAGGGATCTAATTTATGAAATCTGACGAACTTGTAAAATTAAAATACTAACTGAGTTTTAAATGCAACTGCTCCTTTGATGGAATTTATGGGATAGATTGAGATTCACTTTCAATATGCTGCTATACAAAGCTTCAGTAGTCTCATTTCGAACTACATCGAGATGGAGAACTGGATCCTCTTGATGTATAGCCAAAACTGTGAATTTGGACCTCTTAATCATTCATCTGCTTCTTAATGTGACATGTTACTTACTCATACATTTTTCACATTAGTTGGTCGGATAAATGGTTTTTGCTTGAATTTTCTGTAACTTAGCTTTTGCTTGTTTGAATTTTCAGAGACTATACTGCTCAGGTTAAGTTGGAGCAGCCCATTGCAGGCCAAGAAAAGGAGCAATTGGAAATATGCCTCGAGGTAGAGGTCGAGGTAGCGCAAGCCGTGTAGGCAAATCTTCAGTTAGGGGTAATTTTGCTACTCGTGAAAATATGCCTACTGTTCTCATTCCCACAATCAATCCACAACAAGGTGGTACAAGTTCCTCAGGTGGAGCGGATTACATCAATCAAGTTCAAACATTAGGACCTAGTAGTACACCACCTATTCAAACATCAGGCCATGGTAGTACCCCAACTATTAATTTGGAATCATCTCCAAATACCCCTAATCAGAGCAACACAATAGGCGAGGGTACATCTTCTCAAAGCAACATAATAGGCGAAACTGAGTGTAGCAGTACCCGCCGATCGCGAACGCTTCTTACTATTTCTCCTACAGGGTTAGTCCATAATTGTACTATTACTTTTGATATATTGTTATTGATACATTGTATTCCTTTAAATAATGTCTTCTAATTTGTTCAGGTTAGAGCCTTCATATGAATGCTCCGAGTTTATAACTAAGTCATTCAAGAATGAACTTGATCCTAATGGATTCAACTGGAAAAATGTCTCAAATGAGTTAAAAAAAAATTATTTTGGAGAATTCAAGGTATAATCCATCACAATTAGATTTTGAAATTATATTAACTTATATATGTAACTTATTAATGTTATTACTTTATAAAATTATTTCAGAAGGCTTTCTACTGGAATTCTTTAATTGATAGTGCGGTGCAAATCCAATGGGAGCGTAGGGAAGCAAAAAGATACAATGATTTTGTTAGCAAACTAAAAGCAAATATGGTGCAATCGGACACTATTCCAAATAATGCGTGAGAAAGTTGGTTGAGACTTTGGAAAGATCCTAAGTGTGCTGAAAAGTCAGAAATAAATGCAAAAAATCGTTGTGGTGGGAGCGAAATTGCCACTGGGACTCATACAAGTGGCTTTATCAGTGTTGGGGAGCATCGCAAGAGACTTGTAAGTGTATTTATAACTTTTCCCTCTCATTGATAGTAGAATTAGCAATCTGCCATGCCCTTTTGAGAATAAAGGCTTCTCCAACTAGCACTCTTCTTTGTCTCAAATAGGTTATTACTACTTGTTTCAAGTAAGTCAAAATAAACCAAATGATACCTTGGAAGTGGGATATGCAATTCATTGACTGTCCATTTCCTCATTCTCTCTATAAACTGAAAATGGGAAAGAGGATTCTTTCAATAAGGGCATCTTGAGTTGGCTCCTCGAGTCCTGGAAGCCTCTTTTTAGTGCTGGCCCACCAAATTGCAGAAGACATAAACGATAGACTATATTACTACTAGAAAACAAAGAGCATTTTGTTTCAGCTTTTGCTAGGCTGTGATTCATGGGTGTTGTTGGTAGCTCAAATGGTTATTATAGTATAAATCACCTAAAAAAGACAGTATAAAGGATCTTTTGCATGTCTTTTGAACCAAAAGGATTTATAGATTTTTTAATGTAGTAGTTGCTTTTACCATTATAATTCATCTTTCCTCCTTTGCCTATTCTCAATCAGTGTCATGGAGGAGAGCTACATGCAATTTCAACTCAACGTGCACTAGTGACCATGTCCATAGGGTTCTGTCTGCTTGTTTAATAAATTTTCTAACGATGTGCTTAAGAATTCTACCCACATGTGTTTAATAGAAATCATTCCTATAGGTTTACAATTGTAGATACCATGCCTATAAGATTTCAAAAATCAGTTCTGCAACTTAGGTATCATGCCTATAAGGAATAAGTAGAAAATCAGTTTCTGTACTTGGAAATCATGCCTATAGAAAATAAGGGAATCAGTTTCTGCATTTAGAAAGCATGCCTATAGGACTTAAGCTAAAATCATCATGGTAAAATCAGTAATTGCTGTTTGAAGTATGCCCGGATATAAAGTATTAATGAAAATCAGTAGGCAACTAAAAGGTAATTCATGATTTTTATTAGAGTCTGTTAGTCTATTTGCGAGTCTGTATTTTCTTTTATTGGAGTCTGTTAGTCGGTTTTCGAGTCTGTTGTTCTCACCTTCTGTCAGAGTCTGTTGGTCTTCTTGTGAGTTAGAGTCTGTTAATTTTATAATTTGGTAGAATGAGTGGTTGTAATAAAAACTATTTTATTTTATGGAAAAATTTGAAAATCCCAAAATATTTTATTATTTATTTTATGCACTTATCGCCAGAACTACGCTTGGTCTGATTCATGCGGGGTCATGATACGTAGGCAATCTCCATAGGATTCGATCATAACCAAAAGAAAAAAGAGAGAGTGATAGAAAAGATGAGGAAAATAGACCAAATTAGCAGGCTGGTTGGAATTAGTAAAATAGTTGGGCTTCTTATTTTGACGGCCCAACATAATTCTCAATTTAGAGTAGCACGGGCTAGCCAGTTTTCGGATTGGCCATTCAAAAATAGCCAGCATTTGTAAAGTCATTGAAAAATAGTCATTATTTTGCAACAACACGGAAAATTCCAGCATAATATACTGGAGATCGGTGCACCTGTGTATGAACTTCCAACATATTATGCTGGAACTCTAACACACGGAAAGTTACAGTATAATATATTGAAGATTGGAGCACCAATCTCCAGTATATTATGCTGGACCGGTATATTATACCGGAACTCTAGTATATTATACTGGAATTTCAGTATATTATACTGGAGTATTTTTTGGAATTTTGACAGTGTTTTCGTTCAGATTTATCTTTAAATGAAAAATGGCCAAATTTTGATTATTTTTAAAATTATGGCTATTTTTGAATGACCACTTGTAAATCTAGCTATTTTTGAATTTCTCCCAACCCAACCACATTCTACATTTAATTAGATGAGGAAAAACGTGGAAAATGGATGATGATTAATAAAGGATATAATTAGTTTTAACTTTCACTTTTTTCAAGTTGGAGTTGGTTAGGGTGCATTCACTCCTCAAATGTGCGGTTGCCCATATGTTAAAGCCCTAATCGCTAACAAATTTGTTATTGATGAAATTATAATTCAAGCAGGTGGTTAGTTTGATTGGCATTCTGGCAACTCACTCCTACAACACCCGGTCCAAAAACAAGCTGAACATGGCCAACCAGGAACTTGAGGCAAGTATTGTCGATCCATCAAAAGATGTGGAAGAATCGTCTGCTCGCTTTAATAAACTGTTGTATATTCCGTTTGTATTCATTTAGATATCCTGGACTCCTAAAATTATAAAAACTGCTTGTTTGAATAGCGTGCACTTGTTTTATCTATTTGTGGAGGTAAATATGAGCCCCCTTAATTGCTCTTTATGTGACAGTCTTACCTGTTTTTGTTTGTCACTTAGATTTTCTCCTTTTAAGCCACGTAGGTGAGTCTAGAACCACCTTAAATAGAGATCCTAAGCACCTCTAGGGCCACATGCAAGGGATGAGTAGTGCATGCATAGGATACGTAGTCGATTTTGTTAGGACACTTAGGTAATAATTAAAGGGAGGGTAATCGGGTAGTAAATGTCCTATGCGATAATGCTACGCGCAACACCTCTATTTGAGGAAGGTTACCGAGTATTGCACAGAAGTGATCCTATAGGCTAATAAACCTAGGACCCCTTTTATTCCCGTTTTAAAATAATATTTATTTGTTTGAATTGCTTTATGACTAATTCGCTTAAATTGAGTTTGTCTGGGACCCACCATTGTGGACCTCGAGGGGTGCCTAGCACCTTCCCCTCAAGGTAATTTCGAGCCCTTACCCAATCTCTGGTGATGTAAACTAGTACCCGAGTTATTTGTTCTAGGTGCCCTAATGCACCTTAATTCATTAGGTGGCGACTCTTCAAATCTCATACCCAATTCCCAAAAGGAAAGGAGTTGTCCCCAAAATGTCGAAATCCGGACTCTGCAAGGAAAAAAAGGGGGCGCGACACCTGGTCCTGTTTGGGATTTAGTAATGATTGGAATGTTTTACCCCTGGTCTGTTTTTGGGTTTTGTATCAAGTAGTTAGGTTGGAACTAAGTTTATAATTAGTTTTAACCAAGTTTAGATAATATTACTTTCCAAAATTTTGTCTAACTCTTATAATATCTTTATTTTGTGTTTCTGTTCTGCTCTCTTATCGGTTTATCCTTGATTCGGGTTTTGAATACAAATGTTTGCCTTATATTTGTAAATTTGGGCTTTATTTTCCGCCTATTTTAATGTTTGGGTTTTTGTTTTACCCTTTTCTATTTTACTTTTGCATTAAAAATGCTTCAATGCTTCGTGACTCTTTTGAATAAGCACGAATTATAAAAGAGGACCCTTTTATAAACGTCACTTAATCAAGAAGACGTCTCAACTTTATATTGGTGTAAACATACGAAAGAAGAAGTAGGAACATACGTATTTCTTAGAATAACTTGAGGAAGTTTTGTATTTTTGAAATTTCAAACTGTAAACTTTACATGTATTCGAGTAACATCTACAACTCTTTCATAACTATTTTTCTTTATAACAGATTTTACAAAATGCAAGGGTATAACTTTCAACCTACGACTAAATATTGCCTTTAACCTAAATACTCATAAGATTTTGTAATTTACATCTGCGAGTGTATACTTCATCATCGGTTTTTGAATCAGACTTGAATTTTTGGCTCTTGATTTGCTCGCTCTTAACTTTCGATTTGTTGGGTAGATTGCCTCAGGCTTGACTTGAATTCTGACTTTTCTAGTCTTCTTTGCTTTCCACACACACACACACACACACACACACACACATATATATATATATATATATATATTGTCTCCCAAGTATTTGAGCTTTAAAGTATAAAATCTCGAGCACTTGATTATTCCTTCCATGTGGTCCATTTCCTGAAAAGGAAAAACATACACGACTCGGAGGTATATTTTTAGATAATGACTGCTTAACCTTTTTTATTTCCATAAGAAAGTTTGTAACCCAGACGGGGGATGATTTTCCCGCGTGTCTTTTAGGTCTAAGATCATCATTTGGTATGAGTTAGTTTTGTGCCTATCATCTAAAGTGGTTAGTATAATTAAAAAAGAATAAATTTAAACTTTGCATAAACGATACCTGACCGGGGGTTTTCCCTTTCAAAAGTAATACTTCTTCAAATGAGCAACATTCCAATTTGATGGGAGTACACTACCGTCCATTGTTTCTAACTCATATGCACCCTTTCCAGCAATACCTCGAATCTTGTAAGGTCCTTCCCAATTTGGACTCAATTTTCCTGCATTGGCTGCTTTTGATGATTGAAAAACCTTTTTGAGTACGAAGTCCCTAATCTTGAAGTACCTAAGAGGAGTTTTCCAATTGTAATATCGTTCAATAATTTTCTTTTGCGCTGCCATCTTATCAAGACTATTTCTCTCCTTTCTTCAAGCAAATCGAGATTTATTTGCATCTCTTCCTCATTTGATTCTTCGGTTGCTTGGATGTATATCATACTTGGTTCACCTATTTCAACCGAAATTAAGGCTTCAGCACCATACACAAGTGAGAATGGAGTCTCCCCTGTACCTGTTTTGCTGTAATTTGGTAATCCCATAAGACTCCTAGTAACCTTTCTGGCCACTTTCCTTTTGACTCATCTAATCTTTTCTTCAGATTATTAATAATAACCTTGTTTGTTGATTTAGCTTGTCCATTGGCCACATGATGATAAGGTATTGAAGTTATCCTTTTAATCTGCCAACTCTGAAAGAATTCTGTTATTTCGCACCTATGAATTGGGGGTCGTTATAACACACGATTTCTTTTGGAACTCCAAACCGGCATATGATGTTTCGCCAAATGATGTCCCTGACTTCTTTTTCTCATACCTGTTTGAAGGCACCTTCTTCTGCCCACTTGGTAAAATAATCAGTTAGTACTAGTAAAAATCGTACCTTTCCTTTGTCTTGTAGTAGCGGACCCACAATATCCATCCTCCACTTCATGAAAGGCCACAGTGCAATAACCGGATGTAATAACTCCGCT